GTTTCATTCTGTTGTGCATAGGGTTGCTATGAGACGGTAATGACTCAATGGCACCTAACAACAACAACAAGGCTTGAAAAGTCAGCCCATTAGGGAAATCTCCCTTCTAGTTACTAAAGTTTAAAGGGAACTCACAAGCTGGTGACTGAGTCTACTTGTGAGTGGAAATGGAAGAAATGCAGCAATGAAGGCAAGCACTGACTTTGGCCATGGTCCATAGACACACCACTGACCTTGAGATAAGAGAGAAAAGAAGAAGGACCCCCTTGCTCAAAGTTTAGGATGATGTGTTAAATCCTGAGCCCATGGGCACTGACCTAGCCCCTGGGAATTAGGGGCTGAGAATGAAGGAGCCAGCTGGTCTGGCGTGCAGGGCTGTATGTGTGAACTCCCAAACTTGCATCTAGTACCCATTTCACCTACATTGAATGGCTAGCTGATCAGAACTCAACCAGATGAATATAAAGATGTTCCATACCGTGAGCAAGTTCCAAGTACTACAGTTTGATGAACTAGACTTTTGCTTATGGATGTAGCTGCTCAAAATCCCAACCAGAGTGGAAGGATTCTTCTCAAAGGACTCAAGGAAGAAGCTTATTTCCTCAGTGAGTGTATTGGGTTGAATGTTATTGTTAAGTGCCATCAAGTCGGTTCTGACCTGTAGCAAGCCCTGTACAGCGTTTCCAAGGAGCCGCTGATGAGCTTGAACCGCCAAGCTTGCGGTTCAAGCCAACTTTACAGTCCAGCACATTAACCTGCAGTGCCACACCAGGACTCCATTAGGGATGGGATCTTTAGACATTGGCTATCAAAAATGGGGTGGGTGGTGTATAAATGAAGAGGCTGGCTTATAAGCTTTCATGAGTGTGCTTAGTTTCAGAATGAGGGGGGTAGGGGGTAAAATAGAAGCCACACTGAATAGTTTCCTCCTTTCCCAGATGGATGTGGTGAAAGGGACTGGGGGAAGATGGTGATAGGATTTTATGATTTAATTGTGAGTGACTGTTAGCAAGATTAATCGTGATTGTCACAACTGTAGTTGTAGAGGATGTGCAGTTAAAAGGGGCGAGGGGTAGTTTTATCTTTCATTACCGGAACAGATGATCCCAGGACCGTTAAGAAGGATGAACATGCGTGGAGCATGGAATCCCTACATAGAATATCTGCAACAGCAGAGACAGTGACAGAGATGGATTTTAATCATTGAAATGAAACAGTGTCTAGTTTGTTGAATGTAAAGCTAATGATCTTGTCTGTTATCCTTCACTCAATTCTCAATAAATTTTTTTTTTTTACAAAGGAACATGATTTGGATTCTTTGAGGATGCCAAAACTACCATTTTGACGTGCTGTAAATTAGTAAGCACAGGATTCTTCAGGGAATAGTCAGTGAGATTGAAGGCAGTACCTTTAGAAGTAGATAGGCCTTGCTGGAGCATATGTTAAGAAGCAGTAACTTCACATTTGGGTATTTTTGATTCATGATTTATCCAATGAGAAGAGATCTGACTTAAAAGTAATTCATGTTGAAAAAAGCTATTGTGATTTAATTGATTGTGATTGCCTAAAAAGGAGAAATGGAGAGACCTTGTACTGGTCAGAGGGTGTTTGAGACATTGGTTTAAATTCAGTTTTGTCAGAGGAGTGTCACCGTGGTGCTGGAGATTTTAGGAAGCCTGCTTGTGCCTATATGTGTTCCCTAGTGTCTGCCTGTCTATTCTCTTGTGTATCTGTTGTAATTTCCTAGCTTGTAAATTCTGTGAGGACAGGAACCACATCTTTTCTATTCACTAGTGTGCTCTGAACGAGCTCTCATAGTGTAGTGGTTACAAATCGGGCTGCTAATTTCACGGTCAGCAGTTTGAAACTACCAGCTGTTCTGTGGGAGAAAGATGAGGCTTTCTGCTCCCGTAAAGATTTACAGCCTCGGAAACCCTGTACAAAGTTGCTATGAGTTGGAACCGACTCACGGCACATAACAGCAACAAGTGTGCTCCTAGTAGCTGTTCCATAAATGTTTATGGGATGAGTGAAAGCTATGGCAGTACAGAACTGTATTAAGTGTTTCTGTGATTCAGTTTGCTGTTACCCAGCTCTTCCTTTTTCTGGTTGGTTGGTTTCTCGAAATTGACATGAATGTTTAGTATCTGCTTTATTCTATGCTTTACTTTATTTACTGGAATTAGAGTTTCTTTTTTTCCCATTTGGTATAAACTGTAATCTTTATTGATAGGTGAAGTCGTGAGTATATCTGACATGAGTTCTTTCCCTGCTTACTTTGTTGAAGGGAAGGTAAACCCTACCCAGTGTGAAGCCCTGACCATGGTCGCAGCACAAGTCATGGGGAATCACGTGGCAGTTACTATTGGAGGCAGCAATGGCCATTTTGAGTTGAATGTTTTCAAGCCAATGATGGTGAGTTTAAAATGTGATTTTTAATGTTTTTATTTGGTTTCTGTCTTTCATAAAGGTTTTCAAAAATTCAACATTAGGTGCTAAGATGATATAAGTAGCTATAGGAAGTTAAAGGAGTCAACTTGGCTATTTATTTAGATGACTTGGATCATTTGCTTTGTTCAAATAGGAAGAAAAGTTCTGGAAATGAACTGTAAGTTTCTTCCTTATACTTTACTAGAGATGTTAAACAAAACCATTTCTGTCTATTACAACTTACAGTAACCGCATGGGACACAGAATAACTGCCCCATAGGGTTTCTAAGGTGGGAATTTGAACTCCTGGTGTGGTGCTCTGAGATCAAAACTGGACTGCAAACCACTAACTAGGTCAGCAGTTCAAATCCACCAGCTGCTCCTTGGAAACCCTAAACAGGGTCACTATGGATTGGAATGGACGCAACAGCACTTACAACAACAATCATTATGGAAGGAGACTGCCACGTATGTCTCCCATGGAGAAGCTGATGAGTTCAGGTAGCAGCCGGAGCACTTCACCCGTAGCTAGAAAGGTTTACGTCTCCTTGGCTGTTTTTCTTTTAAATCTCCCTTCAACTTTGTGTCCATCTTAAGCCATCTCTTTCTCCTTTCTTCAAATTCTTTCTTCTTGAGAGAATAATCTGTATTTCATGGTACAGTCACTATAGTCTGGCTCCAGCCTCTATCGTTTATGCTTTCATTGTTCTCACTGTTATTAATGTGAAAAGCAGACTTTCCATAAGTGTTCTCTCACTAATATCTGGTGCTGACGATTTCCTTCTTGAGGTACTTTTTCCGTACTCTTTTCTCCACAGTTCGTGGTCTTCCTGTCATGTTTCAGACTTCCTTTGATTGGTTTTACCTCTTCCACATACCTTGAACACATTATTGTATCCACCAAAAGTGGTCTTCTTCATCTTTATGAAAATGAAACAGGAAGGTACATCATCTTTCACCCAGTTTCCAAAATACAAATAATGAAGTTGTCATTTAGTTATTTGTGTGAAGCATGACATTTAAAACATAATGGAAACTTGTATCCAATATGTTTTAAATATATGAATCAGCAGTTCAAACTTTCCAGCTGCTCCTGGTATAAAGTCTGGACGTGCTAATGAAAAATATTAAGTATATTCATCCCATGTATTTAACAAATAGTAACTGAGTTTCACTCTGTACCAGGCATTGTGCATGGTTAAGTGATAGGCCAATTAGCAAGACATTTTTCTTTTCTCTCATGAGTGTACATTCTAGTAGGAATAAAAAAGTCAGGTCAGAGCAGGATCAGACCTATAAGCTTTTGCTTTCAGAGCATATTATAAACAATACCAGTTGCCTGACATAATAATAACTTATTTATCTTTTTTGTTTTTGTTTTTTTCTTTATTGTTGAATTAATCTTGCCTTATAATAAAGTATCAGATTTTAATAAAGTATCAAATCCTATTAAGTTGTGCATTAGTGGGAGAAGAGATGTCAGACCCTGAGGTTTTAAGTCAAAAGAAATTAGAATGTGGGTATATCTCAATAAGTATTGAAAATGCTATCTAAATTTTTTAAGCCTAAAATAAACAAAGGAATGATGTGGTTTCAAATTATCTATAAATATTATCAGAAAAGTTACTTTAATGTGATCAAAAAATATCTTAGTTTTTCTTTAAGTATAAAAAACATAGTGATTATTCAGAGCTGGGAAGCCTGGCTTAATTTTCGAGCCTCTGTATATTTATTATCTTCTTTCATCTGACTGAAAGGTTGTATTTCTTTCTCTGGCTACTCTAAGTTCTCTCATTTAAATGAGACTTCACCAATTCTCTTTCCCTTTGCTCTTTTACACTCCATTCATCTGTGTCTTAGAACTTACCTGTGTTTTAATTACTTGTATTTATATCGTTTTTTTTTTTTTTTTTTTTGTACCCTCAAATCTTTAGTTTCTTTCACATCTGTCTTTCACAACAAATCAGAGCCCTTTGCTAATGAGTCAACTCTGACTACTCTTGGCAGGCCCATGTGTTAGCGTAGAACTCCTCCATAGGGTCTTCATCATTGTAATCTTTAACAGGAGTCCTGGTGTGGCGCTGTGGGTTAATGCGCTGGACTGCAAAGTCAGTTTGAACCACAAGGCTGGTGGTTCAAGTTCACCAGCTGCTCCTCAGAAACCCTATGCAGGGTCGCTATGGGTCAGAACCGACTCAACGGCACTTAACAACAACAATCTTTACAGAAGTAAATCTGCAGACTTTTCTTCCACAGTGTCACTTGGTGGGTTCAAACTTCCAGTTCTTAGGTTACATGAGCACAAACCATTTATGTCAACCAGGGCTCTGTTTTCTTTTGTATATTACCTTATAATTTGTAGGAATATGAATTATGAATTATGTACAGACCATTGCTGGGTTGTGGAAGTCTGGCCTACAAACAACTCCTGTTTGCCCTTTAAACAGTGCTTCCAACCAACTTGAACCAATTCTGTCTCAGCCCATGAAACCAAATAGGCACATTTGGGTGATTTGTCACGGTAACTGGAAAAGGAAAAATTACAGATCAAAGGCCTGGAATAGGAAACTCAGAAGAGGCGAGATGGACTGAGTCTTTTCAGGAGCTTGATGTAGATTATTGGCAGGACCATCGAATGCTATACACATATTATACAGAGCTGTCAGCTGCCATCTTTGAACAGGGCAGTACTGTTTCAGCCCCAAATTTGTTAAATGTTTATGAAATTTGCCCTCAATGGGAAACAATTGAACCAACTCCTACTCACAGTCACTTTTACTTGCAGCTTTTAAATCAATGAAATGGCTTTAAGCCTTTTCTTGCACTAAAGTAAGTCTCACTAAAACTGTATCATATACTCCTATTCCAAATGGCCTACAAATGTTTAAGGACACAGTTAGGAACAGATAAAATCATTTGTAATTTGGAGACTGCCTCTATTCATTTATGAATCATAAATAGCATTCATTATTAATATGTAGCACTATTTATGAATGATATACATTATTGGGCAAAAATGTGAGACTTAAGTATGATTCTTTTTTTCCTTTATAGATTAAAAATGTGTTACATTCAGCAAGGCTGCTGGGGGATGCTTCAGTTTCCTTCACAGAAAACTGTGTGGTGGGAATCCAGGCCAACACAGAAAGAATCAACAAGCTAATGAATGAGTCTTTAATGTTGGTGACAGCACTTAATCCTCATATAGGTAAAATTTTAAGATTCATAATATTTTTAATATAAAATGTTAAAGAGATTTTTGTATCTGTGTGTGGATAGCAAATTCCTTTTGAACATTAAGTGAAAATTTCTTAAAATACTTGAAATTATTGAAAGGTATTATATATATTTGTATATATGTTACTCATGATGTCATAGGTCTATCATAAGCTTGATTACGTTTGCTTTTCAAATTTCTTAATGAATTCAGAAATAGTAGTTTAAATTTACTTTAGTATTAATGGACATTCTATCCAGGGTTGCTGGAGTCCTGATGTGGTGCTATGGGAGAATGTACTGCACTGCAGGGTCGGTTTGACCCGCAAGGTCGGCAGTTCATAATCACCAGCCACTCCTCAGAAATGCTATATAAGGTCACTGTGAGTCAGAACCGACTTGACGGCACTTAACAACAAAAACATACGGAGTTGCTATGAGTCAGAAGCAACTCGACAGCACTTACCAACAACAAACGATAACTGCACACACCTTGGAGTCCTAGTGTGGTGCTGTAGTATAAGCACCGGACTGCTAACCAGAAGGTTGGCAGTTGAAACCCACCAGCAGCTCCTCAGAAACCCTATACATGGATACTATGAGTTTGAACCGACCTGAGGGCACTCAACAACAGCAACACACACCTTTTGGAAGGTTGATTTCATAGGTCTCTGACTTGGTAATGTCACTAGATAGCACTGACTGATGAACAAGGAATGAATTCATTTTCCTGCCTTCTCTAGATTTCCTCTCCCACTCCATTAATATTGCTTTATTCACTTGTAAAATGGAAAGTTGTTAATTAAAAGAAAAAGATGTATTCACTGCATATAGAAAAAGTAGGGAATGTAATATTTTATCTAAACCCCTGCTGTTGTAAAACCGTGACCTTTTCATCATTATACATATTCTATTATGTACAATCAAACATCTGTATGTTTGGATTGTAGACTGACTATAGTGATTCTCATCAAATACACTATTTGACCTTTTTTGGCTCTAAGACATTTATCGAATTATGCTGTGATGTGTGAGAGTCTCTCACCTTTCCGTATTGCCACGTTGAGGTTATTAATATAATTTTTGGTTTTGTGTTTGAAACAAGTTTACAATGTAGTCATACGGCATGGTATGGTTACTGCTTTAAAAAATCCTTCTATCATCCTGAACTTGCAGGTAGACTATATTTTCTTGACTTCACATCAATCTATAATTATAGTTAGAGCTCATGTAACTTGCTTTGGGTAGCTCTGAGTCCAATATGATAATCTGTTCTTTGGTATAGTAGTGAGACTGGCTATGATATTTTGCTCCATTTAAAATTATTGGACATCAACATTTATTTAAGTGGAGTAATACAAAGGGAAGCCCAAAAGGCTTCAGTGCAAAATGTTTCATCAGATCTTACTTCAGTGCTTTTCTGAAACATTTGGGTTGAGCTGCCTCCTAAAGCTGAGCGACTGATTAATCTTTCCTGTGATTGATGTTATGTGATGTGCGCACTCAGCAGAGGCCATGCAGGGATAAAATCGGAAAACGGCACCTTCTGATTGGCAGCATGAGCCTTGACACCCTTCATGTCATGGTTCTCTGTGTCCTTCTTAGCTACCATGTTCTATAAGGATTTTGAAGTCAAGTCTTACTGATTAGACTTATAATAATAGAGTTAACCTAAAAATACATGATACATAATATTGACCCTAAAAGTTTAACATAATAATTCTTTCTAAACTTATTTTATGATCAATAAATGCACTGTCATCATGTTTGTTGTTGTTGTTAAGTGCTGTCGAGTTGGTTGTAACTCTCACTGACCCTGTATAGGGTTTCCGAGGAGTACCTAGTGGATTTGAACTGCTGACTGTATGGTTCACAATCCAGTGCTGATCCTACAGCACCACACCAATTTAGCGTTCACATAATCAGGTAAGTAATACAATTGACTGGAGTCCTCGAGTAGAACCATACAGCACTCAACCTCAAGGTCAAGTCAAACACACCCAGCTGCTCCTCGGAAATCCTATACAGGGTCACTGAGAGTTGGAACCAACTCAGTGGCTATTAACAATAAAATACCTGTATCCCTAATATACGAATCGGGCTGCCAACCTTAAGGTCAGCGGTTCGAAACTACCAGCCTCTCCGCGGGAGAACGATAAGGCTTTCTACTCCCGTAAAGATTTATACCCTCGGAAACCCTGTATAGGGTCGCTATGGGTCGGAACCGACTCGACGGCACTTAACAACAACAACATCCCTAATATATTTTACAACAGTTAGTAATTGCATATTAGCATATAATATCTGGCTTAGTTGATGATCATATTGCTTCCACAGGCTTCTTCCTTGATCTTGCTTTTTAGTTCCCTTCAATATTGATTGCGTTTGCATTTTTATGTCCTTTTTTTTTTTTTTTTTGCTCAATTTGCATGATTGCCCTACCATGCCTTTATTAATTTAATTTAAATGTTACTCTGGTAGCGTAGTGGTTACGAATCAGGCTGCGAACCGCAAGGTCAGCAGTTCGAAACTACCAGCTGCTCTGCGGGAGAAAGATGAGGCGTTCTGCTCCCGTAAAGATTAACAGCCTCGGAAACCCTGTGCAGGGTCGCTATGAGTCGGAACCGACTCCACGGCACACAACAACAACAACAACTGAAGTATACACTACACCTCTGATGTTTTGTACAGGTATAGATATCTGCTAAAAGTTCCCCACCTGTGATTTTGTAATGTCTGGGAAGACATTGTAATGTAATGTAGGAACGACATTGCAGTTGAGGGTTTGCTAGAGAAGATCTGTTGGAAGCAGCAACTCTGAGACATATCCATCCTCAGAACCTTGACAGACATCTCACTACAAGAAGACTTCACACCTGAGAACCATCATGCAATACTGGGCAATCAATATAACACTCAAGTTTGTAATAGAAAAGACATTGCTTTATTGTTAAACAAACTTTGACAGTATATGTATTTGTTTCTACTCACAAGTACAATTTTAAGGAGTCCTGGTAACACAGTGCTACCTTGTTTCCCTCCTACCCTCATGAAAATATCTGAGTAAGTGGGCAATTGCAATCTAAGAAAACTATGTCGTATAAAGTGAGATAGTTGACGTATATCTTGTTTAGGAAGAAGTGCTGTCACTTAACAACTCATAGCTATTCTGTATAGGGTTTCTGAGGAGCAGGTGGTGGGTTTGAACCACCTACCTTACAGTTACCAGTCCAGAACTTACCCTATAGCACCACCCCAGGACTCCACGTTGGTTAGGAAATAGCAAATTTTACTACTAATTTCGTCTGTTTTCACTTTTACTACAGGGTATGACAAGGCAGCGAAGATTGCTAAGACAGCACACAAAAATGGATCAACCTTAAAGAAAACTGCCATTGAACTTGGATATCTAACAGCAGAGCAGTTTGATGAATGGGTGAAACCTACAGAAATGCTGGGGCCAAAGTAATTTAAATCTGTTTATAATTAAAAAAAAAAACCCATCATATTGCATAAAGATAATAAGACAGAGTCCTTATTTTTCTTATTCAAAAGGATAAACTTTTGAGGAAAACTGCCAATGAATTTGACTGTCTCAGCACCATTTGATCAGTACATAAAAACAGTGGACAGTCTAAGGGAACTTTAAAAGGTATAAAATGAAATAATTGTATAAAAATGTTAAAGATTTATCTGTATTTTATGTTAATTGACTTGTATCATAGTTGACTACAAACAGAACCATGTCAAATCTTAAAGTGTTTTTCTTTTTTTCCGGCTGATTGTGGTTTGTTTGTTTGTCTTCAATCCCTTACGCATGATAATGTACTTGCTATCTCATTGCTATGGGCTCAAATGTAACAATTGTGACGATGACACAGGACTGGACAGTGCTTCATTCTGTCATGCATAAGGTCATGAGTCAGACCTGACTTGCTAGCACTTAACAACAAAAATACCTCATTGCTACCTCTTCTTTGTAGCCACCATTTATTTTGCTGTGATTTGCTGGTGTAAGCTGACAAAACACTTGCCTTCTAGAGTGAGATTTAGAATATAGTTAAACAAATTAGAAAATACATACCCTGTTTTGGTCTGTGGTTTTCAGATATGTTACTTGGGCATTTTGCTTTAAAACAAAGCATGTTTTTCCTGTGTCTATTTGGTTTTTAATTACTGTTAGTAAAATTTTACTTGCATGTGATATTAATGATACTGTCTGATGATTTCTGCATTCCATCGGGTCACCTCTCTTTGGTACGGGCACAAATATGGATCTCTTCCAATCATTTGGCCAAGTAGTTGTCCTTCAAATATTTTACAGTAGATGAGGGAGTGCCTCCAGTTTGTTGAAAGATTTCCGTTTGTATTCCATCAGTTCCCAGAGTCTTGTTCTTTTTCAATGCCTTCAGTGCACCTTAGACTTCTTCGTTCAGCATTGTTGGCTCTTGATCATATGCTGCCTCTTGAATTAGTTAAACAAAGGCAGTTTCTTTTTGGTAAAGTGACTTTGTGTATTCCTTCCATTTTCTTT